ACCACCTAGCCTGTCTTCGGCTCAACTGTGGTTGTGACTTAAGATAGGTTAACGGACAGTGGTCCATTACCAGTTTGAAGTATATCCCCTCAAGGTAACACCTCCATAATTGGACAACGTGGACTAAAGCTAAAGCTTCTTGGTCTGTCACGCTGTAGTTCAACTCCACTGGGAGGAACTTTCTACTGACATAACAGATTGGATGATTATCCTATATCAGAACCACTCCCACTGCAGTTTGAGATGCGTCTGTTATGACCTCAAAGGATCTCTCAGGGTCTGGTATCTTGAGCAATGGAGCTGTGGTTAAACACTTCTTTATGTGCTCAAATGTCTCTTGACATTTTGCTGTCCACTCCCACTTGCCATTCTGTTTGGTCAAGTTTGTTAAGGGAGTAGCCATTTTTGAATAGCCGTGTATGAATTTTCGAAAATAGTTTGCCAGCCTGAGGAATTGTTGTACATGCTTTACGCACTGTGGTACAGGCCAATTCTTCACTTTTTTGATCCCTTCGGGGTCTGAGCGAATGCCCTCTTGAGACACAATATGTCCCAAATAGAAGATTTCCTCCTTGTTGAATTGACACTTGTGCATACGACAATACAACTTCTGTTGTCATAGCACCTCTAACACCCGACGAAGGTGTTTAAGATGTTCTTCAACAGTTTGGCTAAACACTAAGATGTCATCCAGGTAAACCAGAACGTGTTTGCCAATTTGATCACTAAATATATGATGCATTGTCTGCTGGAATATTGCTGGGGCATTTGCAAGTCCAAAAGGGAGTACCTTGAACTCGTAAAGACCCAACGGCATCACAAAAACCGTTTTGGCACAATCTACCTTATCGATTCGAAGTTGATAGTACCCTTGCTACAAGTCTATAGCCAAAAAGATCTTGGCTCCTTGCAGTTGATCTAAAAGGGTATCTATTTGAGGGATCGGCCACTTGTTTTTAATAGTGACTTTGTTCAGTGCTCGGTAGTCAATGCACATTCGGAGGCTGCCATCTGGCTTTGGTACAAAGAGTACCGGGGCCCCAAAAGGGCTGCTGCTCTCCGTGATCAAACCTTTTCTCAACAGGTAATCCACCTGGGATCTGATCTCGTCCATTTCTTTTGGACTATACCGAAAGGCTGGTCGCTTTACCGGTTTAGTACCTTCCTCAAGCGGGATGGTCAAAGCAACTCCGCGATCCGGAGGAAGGCCCTCAGGGAGTTCCTCAGGAAACAGGTCCTTGTACTCCTCTAAGAGGGATGTGATTTGTGTTGGGTTCACAGCATGCAAAATGGTCTTTCGACCTGTGTTGTCCGAAGGGCCTGGTGCGTCCCCCTCAGGGAGATCACCGACCCGGTGAACCAAAACTAAACGGAGAGGAGATCTCTGTTGAAAAGTGTGACGAGCATAACCCAATGAACACAAATGACCCAACCGACGAGCAGGCGAAGGTTGGGAAAGAGGGGCCCATGGAGAACTGCGAAGAGTAAGTTTGCGGCCGCGTGAAACCACCCGGATATGTCCGCGACCAGAGGTGGGCCATCCAGGAACGGGGACGGACTAGGAACGGGGACGGGGACGGGAACGGGGACGGACCGGAGTCCGTCCCCGTCCTTGGGCCGGCAGGCCCAAGAACGGCCAGGGATGGCTACGTCCCTGGCTGGGAACAGACTGGGACGGATCTGGGACGGTATGGCCCACCTAGGAGTCCGTTCCTGTACTGCCCAAGGCCGGTCTAGAGTCCGTTCCAGGCCGTTCCAAAGGCCGTTCCAGGCCGTTCCGAAGGCCGTTCCAGGCCGTTCTGAAGGCCGTCCCAGGCCGTTCTGAAGGCCGTCCCAGGCCGTCCTGGAACCCGTTCTAGAAGCCGCTCCACAATACATAACAACATCAAATTCATGCGTGGACCAATAAGAATGCAGTGATCAGATTTGACGCATGGGCCGCGCGCCCCACGGTCCACAAATGTGGTGCCCCTGCCCCCCCTGCGACACAGTTTGCGCCTGTTGCGATGGGTGGCAAGACCAAGCAGACGCAGCGGCGGCGGCATGTGAAGGCGGGGGAGTCACGGCCCCCGGCCCGACATCACCAAGGCGGCCCCCCACAGCCTGCGGCAGGGGATGCCCGGGGCCAGACAAAGGGGTGCCCGGAAAGGCGGTCCCCCACCCCCCAAGGTGAGGGATCCGGGCATGTGGGGATGGCGGTGGCGGTGGCAGCGGTAGGGGGGGAAGGCCAGGGGACGTCTGTTGGCAGCAGCGCCCCACTCCTGGACTTGTTTGACTTTCCGCATTTGGTGGCGGGGGGCGTGGGGGACTCGGATTTGGAACCCAGCGCAGAGGGGGCTCTGAACCTACAACAGCTGCCAGCTGTTGGGGCATCTGAAGGGCTGTTGCCGGCCGGGGATCCCGAGGGGGCATCTGTGAGTGGCAGGGTGGGGTCTGCATCTGTACCGGCGGCGACACCTGGGGGCCCGTTGACGGCATCGGGGGCGGCCGCCTCTGGAAGCGACGTGAAGCGCGCGGCCGGCGGCGAGGGTGGGAATGCACCCTCAAGGGCAAAGCGGGCCCGAACGGAGGGAGGGGGTGGGGTGGGGGTCGCCTCTGGCAGCAATAGGTGTGTGGCCCCACCATTGGGGCCTGGGCAGAGCGGCAGCCGGTGGGTGAAGCCATTGTATGTGGAAGAGGAGGGGCGGCCTGGCATCCTTGCAAGATACGACAGTGTTACGGGGAAGGAAGACGACCACAGCAAGATCATTTGCCGCATATGCGGCAAAGGGATTTCCTTCAAGTCGTCATCCTTCTCGACTGCGGAAAAGCATATGGGGCACCACAAGGTCACGCGACGGACGCTGTCCGTTGCCGTGGAGCTGGCAGACAAAGCACGGGCGGATGGTGTCGCTTTTCCCATGGCTGAGTTTCTTGCGCGGACGGCTGAGGAGGGCCGTGAGGTGGGAGTGGCACATTACATGCAGCAGGAGGCCTTTGCCACAGGAACCGCCCCGTGGCAGCAAATGCGGTCAGCGATCACCCGCTGGATCGCAGCGGATAGCATTCAACTATCCGTTGTTGAGTCTCCAAACTTCCGCCGCATGTGCAAGGCACTCAACGGCCGCTGCCCCTCCTTCAGCCGGAAGGCCGTCACCAACGAGGTCCGCTGTTACCACGTCGTCGCATGCATTGTGTGCAATATGTTTTGTTGTCCCATGGTGTCCATGTGATACAGTCCGCAACACACAACTGTGTTGGTTGTCAGCCTGAAAATAGTGTCTTTGTTGTTATGGCAGGTGGCATCCATGCACCGCCAGGCGGTGCAGAAGCTCCGGGGGATGGAGGAGTGGAATAAGGTGCGGCCAGCCTTCACCTGCGACCTTTGGCGCTCTCGCACGCGGCGAGAGTATTTTTTAATGACCATGCACTGGGTGGAGGAGACGCACCAGCATGACGGCCATGCCAACCGCCAGTGGCGGTTGCGGAGCAGGTGCATGGGGTCAGTGCCTGTGGAGGCGGAGAGCATCACGGCTGAAGGTGAGAGGCTGTGCAGCGAATGGGTAGCAGTGACTACCCAACTGGCAGCTGGTCGTGTTGTTTGTTATTTGTGATATTCGCCTTTGTTGCTTGTCGCAAGCAGTTTTTGTATGCAGTGGTGGTGGACCTGGCCCGCAAGGAGCTGGAGAAGTATGGGATGATGGGGTGAATGGGCAGCAGTGACTGCCCAAGTACCAGCTGGTCGAGTGGTTTGTTGCTTGTCACAATGTGTTTGTGTATGCAGTGGTGGTGGACCTGGCCCGCAAGGAGCTGGAGAAGTATGGGATGACCGGCTGGTGGCCGTCCTTTGTCACGGACGCTGGGAGCAACGTCAGGCGGGCTATTAGGGGGGAGCTGGCAGCACATGAGGTTGGGGAGCAACCTAGAGGCGGCATGGCAGATTGGTCACGCTGTGCCTGCCACATGCTCCACAACGTCGTGACCCATGGCCTGACCAACCTACGCGTCCGCGCCACCCATACCGAAGGCTGCCAAAAGCTTTGCAGTGCAATAGACCGGTAAGCTATGATGCTGGTGTGTCTTTGTGTGTGTGTTGCTATGCGTGCATATATGTTGGTGGTTATTTGTGTGTGCTGCAACTGCTGCAGCTGCTGCTTCGGAATTGTTTCATCAGCAGTGTGCATGTGTCCTTACGATGGTAGGGTCTCCACGCTGGTGAACCACATGCGTGCCAGCACAAAAGCCACAGCTGAGCTGCGAAGGCTGCAAGTGGAAATAATAAGGGAGGGTAATAACGTAGTTTCTAGTGATGAGGAGGGGGTGTCTGCATCAGAGGTGCCCTCCGATGAGTCGGTGAAGGTGGCAGGAGGCCCAACCTGCGGAGGGTACTCCAGCTGGTGAGGTCTGTGGACACTCGATGGAATAGTACATTTTTTATGCTGCAAAGGGCTGTGCGCCTGAGGAAGGCCATCGACAGATGGTTTGGGCTGCACCCCGAATACGATAATCCCATCGAGATTACACAATGGGGCTACCTGGAGGCCCTCCTCCCAATCTTGGCATCTATCAAGAGGTGCTGTAAGAGGCTGGAGGCGGAGGCATACCCCACGGGCTCCAAGGCTCTCACCAAGTTGATGCACCTCCGGCGTTTCCTTTACAAAATCGGTGACGTGGATACTAAGGGGCCATATAGTGGGTTGGTGCCATTCTGCAATGACATATGTGGAAGCTAGAAGAGGCCCTCAGCGACTCCACGTGGGTCTGGCAAATGGCCTTTTTGGCTTTGATGGACCCCACCGGTGAGCGATCGTTGCTAATCACTCAGTGATGTTGTTGTTGGTGTTGTGTACTGTTTCTCACTGTGGTGTCATTCACATATTCAAAAACACATATAAAAGGTCAGAAGCAGTGCTGATGAATTGCATGGTGTGTGTGCAGTGTATGCCTGGAAGGCTACCCTGGGGTCCTACATAAAGGTACTGGAACCCATCAGGGAGAAGTTCGTGTCGGTGGATGCCGTGATGGAGGACATGTCGGCTGAGCTGCTGGAGTTGTGTCTTAAATTCGCGAAGGACATTGGGTGGTCAGAGGCATCGGGGCAAGCAGGCCTGCCGCCCCATCCTGGACAGCGGCCCGTGCGCAAGCCGAGGGAGAAGCGCATGGGGCATAAGACGTTTGACACTAGCTCTGAGGAGGATTATGATGCAACATGGCAACGGGGCCCAAGGGCAAGCGGTGCCGCGGGGCCTAGCCAACCTGCGGGCGGTGCAGCGGGCGGTACAGCGGGCGGCGAACTGACGGATGCCACACAGCGGTTGATCGCACGACACGTTCAGGAGTTCTTAACGGAACGTTGGAGTTTGTGTGAGCCGGGTACCCCACGAGAGGAGGATGCACTAGATTATTGGGCACGGAATAGTGCTCGATGGCCCATAGTGGCGTGGGTGGCCCGGCACTCATTGTGTGTACCGGCTGGAAGTGGTGCGTCAGAACGGGGTTTCTCGGTATCCGGCCATACTGTGCGATCTCGGCGGGCATCTCTGGGGGACGAACGCATTGAGCAGCTGACGTTTTTGTCCGGCAACACCGACTTGTAAATTGCAAGTTGTAATTTTCCGGGTTCTATTGGCTTGTCTCGAATTGGCCCATGGCTCAGTGTGTGACTTGTTTTAATTTTGGCTATATGTCCAGCTTGTACATTGGGTAATGTGCATGTTGCCTTTGCTGCAAGTTAGGTGTCCCTGTGAAAATGTGCCTCTTGGCCCTGAATCCGGCCCTATGAATGCCTCCGCAACTTGCACTGGTCCGCCAGTGCCCCCCCCAACCTCCAATTCGCATGGTCCGTTCCTGGGGAACGGACAGGAACGGACCTGAACGGACAAGGACGGGGCCGTTCCATGTCAGGAATGGGCCCGTTCCTGAGCCGGGACGGACCCGTCCCTGGGCAGGAACGGACCCGTTCCAACTCCGTTCCGGCCCGGCCCAGATCCGGCCCAAATCCGTTCCTGAGGAACGGCCCAGGAACGGACTGGAACGGACTGGGACGGACTGGGATGGGGACGGGGACGGGTCCGTTCCTGGGACGGGGACGGACACCGTTCCCGTTCCCGTTCCTATGCCATTTGGCCGGGCCCACCTCTGTCCGCGATGATAGTCAATGACACCAGCGTGCTCAATGAGCACTGCTCATAGAGCCAATTGTTGCCGAGAATAATGTCATAGTCATCAGAGAGGTCAATGACCACACAACAGACTGTGTCCTTATACCTTTGAATGGTTAAGGGTATATCAACCACTCCTAAGAAAGGGAGTGAAGATTTATCAGCCAAGAGGACTTCAGTCTCTGGTGGTGCGGAGTCCACACGGGGCAGTGTGGAAAACTCCGTAGGATCAACAATGCGATGGGTAGCTCATGCCAACCGTTGAAGACGGTTAATGCGACGAAGCTGTCGATTCGATGCCACATGGGGCTGTTTAGGAGTGAGGCCTAAACGTCGACAACATGTCGGGTTTATGTAGGCCATACCGGTCGCCCCGGTATCAAAGAAGATAGTAGCGGGTTGATACCCGACGTGACCAGTAAAGGTCAAACGAGGGTGTTCTTGAGAAACGCCGCCAATGCGGGGACCCGCTGGTCCCTCTGGGGGTTGATAGTACACATTGACCGGCCAAGGTATGCCAGGCATTTCTTTGCGACCTGGGCAATCCTGATTCGGTTGTGTGAACAACCGGGTACCCTTTGGGTAATGAATGAGAGTGCGCATTTGGCATAGTCTAGGATCGTCGAGGAAGTCCCACCATGCGGGTAGAAGAATGCATGCTCCCACGTGATGTGGGGCCTTTGCTCGTTCAGCAAAGTAATGGTCTAAGAATGGACCAGCATTCTTAAATAGGTGGATTGATCCACACGAATTCATGAGATAACGGTTTCGTTAAGAAACTCGCATCTCTTGAACAATATCGTGCACACAGCGCGTTATCCCCTTTCGGGTTAGAACAAGCGTCCAGTGTAAACTAGTAGGAAACCAAAGATTGAATATGTTTGAAGTGCATAGGATTCAATATGCGATTAGAATGATCCATTTTATGTTGCAGCCCCTTTCGGGTTTCCTCAGACTGCACATCCTTATGATGAATCTTCATCACATAATTGACGGCAGTTTGCAACTGTTTCAGTTTAGGAACTGGAACGATTGGTGCCACATTCTTGTGCACATCCATGGGTGCAGTCAGAAGTCTAGCACTATTCACAGTGTCCTTCCGTGCTGCCAAACACAATGCATGTGAATTCTTGTTCACTTTTTTCACAGTCTGGTCGGGGCGCACCTGCATGGAAGGATTCCTTCCGAAGGAAGCATCCCCCGTCCCAGGCAGTCGCCGTTGGATAAATGGCCGGCATAGAAGGGTTTAAAACATCTAAAACACCTCCCTGCCCTTTTTAGGACCTCTATCGTCGTCTCGCGCAACTGCAAGCGATCGGTGACCATCTTCCCTTCCATGGGATCGCGTATATCCGCATGCGGCTCATAAATGCGATCACCATGGGCCTGTGGACCATTCTTCAAGTCAGCACGAGAACCTTTAGGAACTATTTCCCCTCGATCTTTCGGCCTATTGTTCAGCACGGGTTTTCCCCGGTTATCCACTTGCAACGCATGGTGCTTGTGAATAATCTTATTAGGGGGCAGGCGGTTACTCATATTCGGTCTGCCATTTCGGCCTTCATTACAACGCGAGCCATATGCCTTGTATTCCTGGTCATATATTGGCCCCACTTTATACAAATGAGCTCTCAAGCTTGCATAAGTGGCCCATTGCTCATCATCTTTATTTAACAAACATTTTCTTTTCATATCTGGATGGAGTCTAGTATATAGTGCATGCAACTTGGAAAAATCATCCAGATCGTTCTCATATTTGAGAAACATCTATTCCAAAAGTTGCATGTATTTGATCGTATCGGGACCCGAGGTCCCTGCCTTTGTAAAGGCTGCTATCTCAGACCGAATTTCAAAGTCTGAGCATTTATGATCGTAAAGTGTCTCCATGCCATACTTAAACTGTTCCCATGATAGTTGAAATTCTGGCTGTGAGGGCACTTCCGCATCAATGGCAACCCCCCACAGGTGGCCCAATTGGGCTAGCAAGCCATGCTTCACTGACTCTTCTAGAGTATTCAGTGCTATCCATCCCCATTGAGATTGGGGGGCCACAGTGGTTTTGAAATACATAATGATTTCTTGTAACCACTTGGTCAAAGCTTGCTTATCTTCATTCCACTTTGGGGGTTTCATGCCTTGAGTATTCATCTTAGGCATGCTCACCTGACTTCCCATTTCGGGCTGAATGTGCACTGTGGCATAGGGCATCCCTTGAGCCGCCTGAAGATATTCCTGGCCCATATATCCGGGGCCCATGGGATCATAATCTTTTGGGGGCGGCGGAGGCCCGTCAACAGCCATATGCATCCCCTCTCCGATGGATGCCAACCGCTCATCATGTGGTGGCTCAGGGACTTGCATCAGGCTTGGTGGGTGTCCTGCTGTTTCTTCAAGCTCTCTTGGCTCCACCAAATAGGATGGCTCTCCGAGAGGTTGAGACATGATCACCTACTGCCTTGGGGCTGCCGGTGCCTGCTGTACTCTTTCGGGCTGAAGTACTCTCTTAGGCTGATGCTGGTACACCACCCGCGGTTGGATGTACCGCGGTGCCTGACTGCCCATCTGTTCTGGGGCAAATGACGATATCTCCTACAGCTGCTGCAATTTCTGCTGCATAGTCTGCATCTGAGGCCGTGTCGCCGTTGCTCCCATATGGCCCATCGTGTAGGGCACTGCTGGCTGTCGTGGCACCCTTTCGGGCTATTCTACACCATTTCTGGCTGGGGTACTGGACGGGCCATTGCGGAAGGACCAGGCGGCCTTGATGGTCCCACTGGTATCTGCACAGTTCCTTCCACAGGGACTCGTCGACCCGTCAACTGAACAGCCTGCCACTCTGTGGCTGCGTCCTGGCTCTCTGGCACATGGATGCCTAGTGCTGTTTACTGCACTTCAAACAGATCCCGCAACTTGGCGGGGATGCGCTGCAAAGCATCCAGAGGTACCGTCGCATGGTACGGGGCTCGTCGACCACTTGGATGGTAGTACCCCTTGTAGTACACACCACCATATGGGTTGTGGAACGCCCCAAGCGTGTCCCAGAACCCATGGGCATCTTGTATCACAGGTGCCTTCAACACGGGAACTGGTCCTCTGGTCTGGGCATAACCCATTTCTCTCCACTGCTGCTGCTGCTGCTGCGCCATGCACTGTTGGAACCTTGGATCAGGTTTCCCCTGCCGGTAAACAATTCCACGGGGACCTGGTCCATAACTGCTCTCCCCAACTAGAGGCCCTTTTGGCTGTGGGGTGGGCTAGTGGCCCTTACGCCGAGCCGCCTGAAACTCAACAAACTCAGCATAGTCCTCCTCGCCCATTGTGTTGAGCAGTCGGGCAGCCTTTACGGCTTCGGCTCTGGCCTTCTCTAAGGCAGTTTCCTGTCTCTTGATAGCAACATAATCTTCCCTTCTCTCGCGGGAGATGGGTTCAGCGGGTATGCCTGCCGATCCGAGATACACAACCTTGTCATTACCGGCAGAGTCTCTAATTTCTGCATGCAAGTGTGTACTCTCAACAGGATTCAAGGGAGGCACTGCATTAGCAATGTTACATGGAACTGGTCTTTGAGTTCCTTGGGATTCCTCCCTTGCCTTTTCAGGCTGCTTCTTTGCCTTTTCAAGCTGTCTCTTGTCCTTCAAGATTTGCGCCTCCGGCACCGGAATTTTTGCCTTCTCCGGTACGCTTGCCTCTTTAGCTGGAGGCAATGCCTTTTCAGGCTGCATCATTGTGAATCGAGCGGGGTGGGTTACACCATAGTCGCTCCCACTCGGCTCATCAGCCCATTTGGCCGTCTGCCACGGCTGGCTCCTTTTGAGCTCGGCAAAAGCTTGGGCTTGCCTGGCCGGGTCCAGCTCATCCGCCACCGGCTTAGCCTCAAGGCACTGCGCCTTTTGGCTGCCTCCTGCAGAGAAAAACCGCCTGATCTCAGCCTTGCACTGGCGTTTATGAGCTCGCTTACGCTCATATTTCTCGAGATTCAATTGCCTATCTTGCTCACACCGCATGGCTCTCAGCTCTCTGCGCTGGCTGGATTTCCGAGCCTTTCGCTTATCCAACTTCTTCGCACGGGCAAACCGATCCCGGTTATGAATATGTCGTCTCTTTTTTTCTCTTCTATGTACTTGTGCCCGCATCGACATGTCGCCCAGTAACAGGGAAGCGCATGAAGAAAACGACAATTTGGAGATCTCCTCCCATCGTTCGTGGGGATCATTGGGGTTCGGTCTTTCCGGACTTCCCTCGCTCAAGTCCCAAGGCTCGAGAATATGCCTAAGTGCGAAGGCCATCTTTTCCGGCCAATTTGGGTCCTCTTTGGCAATTTAATCAGCCATTCCAGGACCATACCACCTTTGGATCCTTATCAGTCTCGTGGTGGTTAATCTTTCGCCAAAACGTTCCGCGGCCATTTGCCAGCCTTCATCCAGATCGTCAACGCG